GCGACGGATAAGTCCCGACGTCTTGCGAAAAGGGGAAGCTTTACAAGCAATTCAGTGAGCACCTTACGTGCACAAGAGAAAAGAGGGAGAGGGGGAAAATATGGACTTTAGAAGGTTGAATGAATAGCTATAAGTCCACAAACAACTGCTCACCGGGTGCCGGGCGCGACAACAAGTTCCCGTCAAGGTAACGTGCGAACTTGCGAAAGATTGTTCAACGCCCGATACTATACCGAAGCCCCATCTAGCCTTGTGCCACCTGGGTGGTTCCAAGGGGTTGAGATGGCTGACGTTTTGTGAGCAGAAGCGGACTACAGAAAACAGCCCGTGGCACACGAAAATGGAGCTATTTTGGGTTGTTTTGCTCGGTTCGATGAGTGGTCACTTTATAGCGCTACAACTTATTCGAACTTACATTTTTACAAGAAAAATAACTTGAAACTAAGACAAAACATGCTGCTAAGCAACTGTACATGTAGATGAGAGCGACGAACGATTTGTTGAACGAAGTTGTTGCGGGTGCGCGATGACCGTTCGTGATAGGGTGGCAACAAATGCAACAAGATCACTGATATGATACTAAATGATAGAACCCTAGATGGAATTCTATGTAGATTGATCTTTATGGGGGATCAATCCTTGGAACTCTATAGGGGTTCCACCCTCATAAAAATTAGCTATATGGTTGCAATTGTAGATAGATCTTGTTCTAAAAAATGGAGGCTACATGCTTATATAGGGCTCTAAACCCTAGCCCTAGGGAGTACTTCCTAAGTGAGTTATCCCTTTTGCCTTCAACCCTAGCCGACTGGCCCAGTAAAAAGAGGGGGACGGGAGGGGGCGGTTGCTAGGAAGCCCAAAGACCCAAATATAAACCCTAGCCACTCTTCTTTATAAGATAGAGACAGCTAAGTGGGGTTTATTATAATCTCACCAGATTTTTATTAATTGTTTCTTGGTTGAATAGGACCTTTGGCCTAATAGTGGGCTTGGAGGATCTTTTAAATGAGATAAAATAGAAGCACTTGTTAAAGAAAAATACTTTTGGCCTAATATAAAATAGGATGTTCCTAAATTTGTGAAAAGATGTTATATTTATCAAAAGGCCAAAGAAGGAGTGCAAAATATTGGTTTATACCAACCCCTTCCTATTTCTAATGCTTCTTGGGAGGATATCTCAGTGGATTTTGTTCTTGGTTTTCCTAGAACACAGCATGGGTATGATTGCATTCTAGTGGTTGTTAATAAGCTTTTTCTACTTTCGTTAATGTCTAACTTAGTGGAGGAACTCATAAGAGTATTGATAACTTTTGAATTATCCATATTAAATCGTTTTAATAAGCCTAGTGCATGTTTTATTTGACTAATAAAAATACTATCATTGACTTGTTTAATTTGTAAGCCTAAAAAGAAGGTTAATTCACCCATTAAACTCATTTCAAATTCTTGGCTCATACTTTTGGCAAATGATTCACATAAAGATTCATTTATGGAACCAAAAATAATATCATCAATATAAATTTAAATAATAAAAAAATTATTCTCAAAATTTTTAATAAACAATGTAGTATCAATCTTTCCTTTAGAAAAATTATTTCGGATAAGTAAGTCGCTAAGTCTCTCATACTAAGCCCTCGGGGCTTGTTTTAATCCATAAAGAGCTTTAGTCAATTTAAATACATGATTTGAAAAGTTATCATTCTCAAATCCAGAAGGTTGTTCAACATAAACTTCTTCAGAAATAAAGCTATTAAGAAAAGTACTTTTAACATCCATTTGAAATAACTTAAAATTATTACTACTAGTATAGGCAAGGAGCATCCTTATGGCGTCTAGTCGTGCCACAAGAGTGAAGTTTTCTTCATAATCGATACCTTCTTCTTGGTTGAAACTCTTGGCTACTAATCTAGCCTTGTTTCTAACCATGATACCAAATTCATCTTGCTTATTTCTAAAGACTCATTTAGTACTAATAACTAAATGGTCATTTGGCCTCGATCATGATAAAAAGACTAATTCGCCTTTAAACACAGATCCTAAATAATCCCGGTCATAGGTTACTCAAGAGGGACATCGAAATAACCGAACAGACTAGTGTGCTGTATACCCATCCATATGATGGATGCAGTTAGTCTCATAGCTGCTCGTGTGGGGACACTAGGGATATAGTGTAGGTGCTCATTAGAGAATGAGTCATTGATTGATCTACTCACGGAATGTTGGATGGTTAATAATACCTCATTGTCAAACAATGATTCTATTATCCCAGTGGTGTACCTGGTCCTTAGACTTGAGATACCAAGGATGTCCTACATGAGTACTCTATTCTTTAATACCGGTCTTATTGGCCTATAGTTTTAGATTTAACACAACCAGTCATCGGGAGTGGTAGTCAACATTACGATGGCTATTGAGTGTCGATAGAGATCATCCACTCTCAGTGTTATGAGAGAAATATTTCATGTGTTCTTGCTCAAACAAATCTCTAGCCAGGGTCATTCGGATTGAGAAAGAAAGAGTTCTCCGAGAAAATCCGATTAGAGCAAGATTCGAGTTGAAACCATATAGGTCTGATAGCACCATACCCGGTATACGGTATATGGAATACTAAATGGATGAGGGGCTATAGGTATACAGTAATTGAGGACAGATAGGTTCAATGGATTAAATTCGCCTATATCATTTGGGGACTGCGACGTAGTGTCCTAGTACGTCCGCAATCGATGAGTCGAATAAATTATTATGGAGATAATAATTCACTGAGTCATAAGGAGTTCTGACAGATATGACTCATGGTTAGCTCGATATTAGGCCTAGAGGGTCACACACATATCATCATAATCTGATTCCTATTGCACAAATCCATAGACATCACAATATATTCATGCAACAAGTAATATAAAGTGATAAAATACCAAATAATAATAATAAGTTAAAAGACTGCATGTCAAGTCACACGTGTCATCACTCACGTGATTGACTTGCAAGGCACCTATGACTAGTAATTCTTAGTTTCTCTCATACGTATCTTACATCACTCATAAGTAAGCAAGCTCGAGGGAGAAACTTAAGATGATCCTAGTGCTTGAACGATACATAAAGCTAACCTTTAAGTGTAAGGGCACATTGCAAATAAATCGCATGATGGAAGCATCATATGGTGAAGGTTAATTAAAAAAATAATAATAATCTGAATATAAAAATAATCAATCAATCTAATTTCTTTAATGATAAATGATAACTTAGATCTTAATAATATGATTTTGATATCAATTATACTAATTAAATATAATATAAAAAATTTTAATGTCAGGATTGAAATTGAAAGTATCATAAATTAGGGATAGATTATATATACCTTTGGATGTCATAATAAAATAGGGCACCTAATACGTGGAAGCACCATACGTAGTTTTGCAAGAAAGTTTGACTCTTTCTCTTTTCTCATTTTTATAAGACTACTATGATAGGTAGAACAGGGATTAATCAAGAGGATATGATGCTAATGTGATTTCATGATATGTTTCTTAGGAGATCTTAAGATTATATAGGTAAGAACAAACGACCTAGATAAAGATAATTATATGAGTTTCTATCATCAAAGTTATTTTCTAAATTTTTTTAAGTCAGAAACTAATTAGATCTTTAATATATCTTATCTCAAGTTAGAGCTATATAATCTTAGGTTCTTAATGATTAAGAATTTTTAATACTATACAAGGGTCTTTTTAGGGATTAAAGAAACTATCTCACATCAACTTTAATCTTATTTTATACCTTTTTTATTCTATTTTAAAATTATCATAGAGGAGCATTCACATAATTTTGAGGATTCCTTATTTAGATAGCTAATTTGGGCGAGGTCCGCTTTTAGGTTATCATGCTTTATTAACGATGAAATTAGTGAGATCGATTCATATTTTCACGACAGACTAAAAGGCTGCATCAATTATGAAAATAATATTTAAAGAAACTTTTCTCTTCAAAGTCTAGGAAGAGCTTTTATTATCTCAAAAGAAAATATATGTTACTTGAATGTCTTATACAACCGACTTAAGACATTGATTCTTTTATTCTTCAATCAATATGAATTAAAATTATTTATCACCCTTCCTGAAAATTTATAAACAGTTAATTATTTCAAAATAAAAAGCGTGTGTCTACAGTTTTGTTAAATCTCCAAAGAGAATTCTCTTTGTTGTTAAGGTTCTTCGTTGGCACTTCAGCATCAGTTTCAATTTCTATCCAATGAAATCTCTCCATTACAACAAATTACATATCCGGTCGAATTGATACAATTAACTCAATGTACCAACTGCACCCTTCAACTACAATTTACTTGAGGTGGACTTACGGACTTAATGAAGCCTACATAACGAAAGAATTAAAATTGAAGCTTGCAATCGGACGGTCCCTAGTACAGGTAAGACAGATACTTATGGGTTGATCAAACAATCATAACAAACCACGTGGCCGGAGTGATAGCTTAATAAGAATGGGAGAAAGACTCCACACCACTGACAGGTTGAATAAAAAACTTTCGATTTAATCATGTACTCCTTGCAACTTTGATTCTTTATATTCTCTGTGGTAGATGAGACCAGTTTTATTCATTTTTATTCTTATTTATAGTATCAGTCAGTCAACGAGTCCGACACGGTGACAAGTAGACTTGTAATGGTGAGTTTGGTCATATCAAACCGGAAATGTTCGGATATTTGGGTTCAAATAAAGTTTAAATGGTTCATCTTTTGAATTCCCTTTTGCCCCTAGCGGTCACACTTCTGTAATGTCAGAAGAATAATAGTGTATTATTGAAGAAGATCCTTTAGATCCATGCGATTATATATGTATATATATATTTACATAGATATGTATATATATGTATATATAGTAAACTAGGAACGAAGAAACGTGTTGCAGTCACCACACGGTCAAAACTACCAGCTTCCTCATTGAGTGAGAACTCATGCTCCAACCTTTCCTTTGGCAACCAAACCTTGGCCTTAGAAGAAGATCTCGCCGCCCTTCCTTGTATCTGCAACCAGCAATGGCGCTGGTGATACGCTGGTACGACTCTGCTTGCCTGGCCATCGTCGTCGGGGCCATCTGGGCGTCCCTGTGTATGATCAGGCGGAGCGAAGGCGGCGGCCGTCGAGGGGTCAACGACCGATCCGAGTACGAGAGTCTACTGATCGTCGTCGTAGCGGACGGCGAGGCCGAGCTCCCCGAGAGGCGCCATGTGAGCTACGAGCAGCTCTGGATGAGCTGCTGGAGAGTCGTCCACCCTGCTTTCCTACTCGTCCTCAGATTGGTCTCCATGGCCACCATGGCCGCCGTCCAGTCATGGGACATCGCCACCTACGACTCCAGCATCCTCGTGTACTACACCGAGTACGTAATCGTTTAACGTATGAATGCGTTCATAATGAAGAGCTTTAAATCTGTTAATGTTTTATGTAGTTGGCCATACATTCATCCTATATTATTTGCTAAGGTTAGTTGGAAGTCTTAAAAACCATGACTTTTAGAACTGCAAGACACATCTAATCTTATCACATCTTAGTGATATAATAATAAGTAAAGCAAATCCTGTTGCTTAAGCATTCATAAAGCATGGAGATGACATTCCAATTCAGCTGCAGCAAGTATTGGATGTTGCACTCTTTAGTGGAACCGTTATATTCCAAGCACAACTCCCAAGTTTTATCATTCATCATCCAAAGTATCAATACTTGATTCACTCCAATAAACTGCATCAATAGTAAGTGGGATTGGTCGTATGATTTTGAACCAAGAAAAAAAAGAATATGTGAAGGGTTTCATGAGAAGCATTCTTCCACTTTAGATAATTTGTGGAGCTTAAATACAACTGAACATTTGAAGTGCAAAATTGACATGGCAATATGATGAAGGTTATGGACAATCTCGTCATTCCAGTCTACATACTGCATGAGCAAAGTGGGTCAGGACTTACATGTCCATTAGTCTCCAAAGACCGTCCGATGGGATGCAAAACAACTGCTGTTTGAATCGAGCGGTTAGTTGTAATAAAGGATGTGTCCAATCCCGGAGAATACCCCTTCCAGAACCTCTCAAATGGCTTGCGATCACTGTCTTCCTTAGTTTTAATCGTTTTTATACTAATTCTTGAGGGCTTGAAGATCACCTTGGATCGCGAGGCTCGAGAGGTGGTGGGCGGAGGTGTAGCTATGGAGAGGGAGAGGGTGGGCGGAGGTGTAGCTACGGAGAGGGATCATCATCATCATCATCATCATCTACTAGGATTTCTTAATTTTAGAACTCCTAAATTTTAAGAAATTAATATTAATTTTTATTATTTATTTATTTTTTTTAATTATGGTAGAAGACCCTTGATATAGTAAATTAGGGATTGCCTGTTTTATTTATTTATTTGTTAG